ATTGTATCATTTTGACACCTTTGTCACATTAAGACACATCAGAAGATTCTTCATAGAAATAGTCAACACCACCGGACAAAAGAAGGTACAAAAAAAAGATGTAAAGAGAACTGATAAACACACAGAAAGGCAAAATATGCATAGGCAAATACTCCTTAACTCATGGTGACAAAAGATTGTTGCACCTTTAATACGTAGCATTGAACCATTCTGATTACTGGTCTCCAGGCACCCTGTTTCTCTATGTTTTGTTTCAGATTACATCGTCTCTGTTTGGAAACCTAACCCGACCAGAGCATGGACCACAGCTATCTGTTCATATAACATATTGTAGTGAAACCTAAATAAAAATCCAGCTTGGGGTTTTTTCTCCCTCAGAGAATGAAGGAAGGAAAAAGATTGTAGAGAGGTCTCTTTTGCCAAGAGGTTCATTTGGAATAAGGTGTTGGACTGAGTCACTATTAATATAAAAGGTTTCCTCCAAAAGTGGCCCTAACTCAGCTTTCAGTCACATATCTGAAGTCAAATTTTGTATTCATAACCTGCAGCAGAATATCCTGTAAGGGCTGGTTTTGCAACAGAGTGAGAGAAGCCCTTTACTTTCCACTTAAAGTGTAACCAACAGATTCTGTTTTCACTTTAGGAAGCAGAAAGCTTAGTACTCTGAGAAGAGAGACCAAGAGCCTTCAGCAGATTTAGTGTACAACTGGAGGGCTCAACACTAGCCTCACATAAATATGGATATGGCCTATTTTAAGTATATTTATGCACACTATATGTAACTACAGTTTGTCAATTCATAAAGTTTACATGATGTTTATATGGATATGCACATGGATCTAGAAAACCTTAAAATGTCTAAAACCAAAACCAGGCCTAAATCACTGGATGCACAGCTAATGCACAGAAGATGATTAAGTAGTAAAACTTGCTTTTGCACATTTGTATACCCAAAGTGAGCAAAATAATGTTTTATATATTTAATGGGATGAAAATTGATATGGTTGATGGTTAGGTTTTGAAAAAAAAACAAACCAAAAAAAACCCAAAACAAACCAAAAAACAAAAACAAACCAAAAAGCTAATCTCAAAACAAGTTTTTAAGAAATTAATTTTTTTTCTTCATTTAGTTTTGACCATAATAAGCAACTACTGAAATATTTGCAATTGTAACCTTGCAGAGTGACTTTGTGGATACCTGGATTTCATTATGTTTGCAAAATGTCTAGGTTATTACAGCAAACACATCAAAAATCCAGGTACAGAGCAGCTGCAGCCTGGGGCACAAGCAAGTAGATCCTCTGTCAGGCTCTGTGTGCAGTCTTTGCTCCCCCCAGGAAATCTGAGGCAAACCCTCCTGGCCACAGACAGGACGTGTTCTTACCAGAGACTTCTTCACAGCCAGCTTTTCCACCATGACTATGAAGAAGATCAAGGCTGACAGCACAAACTAGCCTAGATCCACATGGATCTGGTAATTTAATAAGAGCAAGTTCAATTCACTGGAGTATCTGCTTAGATACTTATTCAGCAGAGCATTTAAATCCTTGTTTAAGTATTTACAGCCAACTGACTTTGTAACAGGAAATTTAAAAATACACCCCAGTGCTCTTCTGAATATTATTGGACCTAAATAAATACATAAAGGCTAATCATGTAATGAAATGCTGTGATGAATCAGCACAGAACCAGTGTATATTTTTTAGATGTAGAGTCTGCATCATATTAGAAATCCTTAAATTTACTTCCATCTCTTTTTCTAACACTGATCACTTTTCAACAAAAATGGCAATATTTCCAAATTTTCATTGAAAATGAAAAATTCTCAAACCTGATTTCAGAATTCAATGAGAATTACAAATGAAAGATTAAAGGATAGGAAAAATAAAAGCCTAAATTTGTAACTTGTGCTTTTAAATTTCTTTATCATTCAAGGCCAACTTATAAAGTTGAGCATGTGAAGTTTACACATAAGCAACAGTGACACATTTGCACGCAAACGTGAGGACACATTTGACCATGTATTTAAACAAATTGTCAACAATTTGCTTGCAAAGCTTCTGAAAGAAAAATCCAGACTCTGTTAAAATTGCTTTTGATATGAATTTGACAGGTGAGGATCTCATCAAGGTCTCCTCTGCATCAGAGGACATTTTACCACTAACCAAATAAATGTCATCAATAGAGGCACAACTACCTAGTGTGCATCCTGTCATACAAGCACAGCATTTATATTAATATTACTTATTCCCATAGGGGAAACAGCACAAGTTATTTAAGTGTAAAATTCTTCTAATAAATAATACATTATAGTGGTAAAACCTATACCACAAATCACTGTAGAGCAAGGAAAATACAAAGATCTCTTTGTAAGGTCTTCTCACTGAAGTATGATTTGTTATCAAGAGCATATTGAAATGCATACCAATATTTTTACATGGTAATATATTTCAAAATGTCACCTATTACTGAAATCTTGTCTACATGTCAACTTAAAGGAATGGCCATGGAAGAATAGGCTTACTGAGTCAGAAGGGCATATCTGTAACTGTAAAGCTAACAAAGCCTTCCTGATGACAACAGTAGTAGGCACCACTGAAAGTATTATTTAAATATGTAATATAGATATCTTTCATTAATATAGACTCCTACAGGTTAAAAAAGGTTAAACAAGCAAATAGTTACTGTCAGGATGACTACATTTACTAACATTAACTCATTAAATGCCTAAATGAATTGTTCACAATAGGCAAATACCTGCAAAGCACCATAAAATTATGAATGATATGCTGTATTTACTTTTCGTAGTGTGCTGATCTGCAATACAGAGAACACTTTTACCTTTTGGATATACATTAGTTAGTAAGTGGAAGAATACTTCAAACCATGTTTCCTTCATGCCCAAAACTTTTCTAGGAAAGTTGCTTTCTACTATTTTTCTCAGCAAGAGCAACAGTAAATCACCGCCATCCTTTCACATTCAGTATTATAAGATGATGTGTGTAAAACCTAAAAGTTATCTAAAGCATTGGGGCTGGCTACTCTTGACTTTCTGACTGAACAGATAAAAAGGAACCAGTGTGATAGCAAGGCAGAAAACTAGTAAAGCAGAGGGAAATCAGCAACAACAAAACCTCAGTTTGACTAAAATCAGAGTGCTGCCATTAAAACAAAAAAACCTCTTTTCATAGTCCCCAAGAGAATTCATGTTCGTGAGGAGCAGATTTTGGTTCAGAGTACTTTTATATTCAGCAATGACATTTACAGGGTAAATTCCAGGACACTACACTTAAAGATAAGTTCTGTGCAGAACTAATTAATTGTCATAATGTTCTTGCATTGCAATTATTTAAGGGGTTCAAATAATGAAGAAAAAAGTAATTGTATTGCACACAGACACCAGTCATGTCCAAGTTTGAAACCTGGACCTTGCTACTTGTGCCAAACTAAAGCATGTACATATTTCCTTGGCTGTTTTAACTTCCCCTTATACAAAAATTCTGAACAAAACTGTACCTGTGAATTCACTCATGCTGAAATACCAGTGTTCGCTGTCCTAAACCTGCTTATTTTCTGGGAGTGCTTACAAATGTTTTCATATTTCATAATGAAGAATTAGTAAGCCTCCATCACACATATGGGCATGCATGCCAACACAAGAAAGCAAGAGTACCAGAACACTAATGGGAAAAATGGCACATTAGATGTTGTACTGGCATCCAAAAGTGCTTGTTTGGGTGGATACGTAGACTGCACCAACAAGATAAATTTAAGTTCAATAGCAACAAATGCTGAGATAATCAACCCTAACTCTACTCACCCACCCAGAAATGTGCAATTCTATTTGTTATTTTATGTAAATGTCCCTTCAAGAACAGAAGGTAGAAAAATGTCTTTCCCGATCCTGTATCTAACAAGGACAATCAAACTTAAAGAAACTAGTGTGCCCTTACTTACAAACAACAGAAAAAAACATAGTGCCATTTCAAAGAGGCATATGACAACCACAACCCCATGTAAGGAGAGGTCTACCTGGGTAATCGAAGTAAAGAAAATTAATTATTTTCTTTTAAAGATAATATAGCTGACACTGAAACAACGAACATCCTTACTCATCCAAACAGACTCATCCACTCTCATTTCATATTTAGTTCCCCCTTTCTAACTGTGTAGGTTAATTAGTGCTAACCTACGTATATGGAAAAGGTATGTTACCCTCCTGGAGTTTTAAGTAAGGAGTCAGAGGCCAGACACAAAACTATCACACCAAGGAAACAAATCTAACCTGACTTAGGATCTGGTTCTTTAGAGAGTAAGCCAGAAGTACTGTAACTATTTTTGTATGGTAGTAGCCCCAAAGCTGAGGACCATCATTGCACTTCCAGTATGAAGAATATTCACCCCACTAGTGTCAGATATTTGATGAAAAATTTAAGGTTCAAAATATTATGACGATTTTTTTCTCATTCATTTGTAGGTTATTAATCAACAAGCTGCATTATTTTTCTCCAGTAGTAATGTGTGTCAGTTTTAAAGCTAAAAAAACCCATGTGGATAAGCAGTTTGTGTTTACTTAAAAAAATTATAAGAAAATACAGAATATAAGCAATTAAAATGTAGCCCTTTAACAGTAGTACTCTAGCAGGGACCATCATCACAATAAATGGTCTGGAATAGATATAATCACTGCATTGTTCCCTTGACACACTTTCCTAATTCAGTCAGTCAGAAGGATTTCCTTCTTTCATTATGTTATCCACAAATACTTTGCAACCAAAATTCTAATTTAAAGAAAAAGCTTTTACTCAAATTCATATACTTCTTTGGATAAAGGGCCAATCATCAAGCACACAGAAATTGGTTGTGATTGTAATTTCATGTTTGACTACCTGTGCACTAGAGCTCAAGGTGATTTTGCTATTTTATACTCAAAGCATCATTAACTAACTTACATATGCCTGAAAATCCAAAACAACTTTAAGTATTAAAAATAATTTTTTGTAAAACAGCTCTATTCTAGAGCAAATATTTCTGGTATTTAAGGGTAAAAACACACTTTCATTGAAATCCTGGTGCTTGCGCATTGTCTTCTGTGTCCTATGGCTGCCTTTCCTTCTCTAGCTACAAAGCCCACTTGACAGTGGTTTCTTTTTATTGTTTTTAGCTACTTTAAAGTAAAAAAAAAAAAAAAAAAGATTAGAGCTATCAAGCCCTGAAAAGGTGAATCTTCTGGTGGTGTGTTGTTTGTTTGTTTTTTTTTCCCATTCAGAAGGGCTATGTGTAATTATACTCTTTATCAAAGAAACCTAACTATAATTTGGCATCAGTAATGTTTACAGTTCCGTAATGTATTGTAATAGTTTGAGATACTTTAAGAAAACCCTCCAAATACTGAGATGCTTATTGCAATTCCCTTTTAAAGATTCCAAAGCCTTCTATTGACTCTGCATTTCCTATTTTTATCTTCTTTATAGCATATGGTATAATATATTTGAAATATGCTTTCCACATAAAATCAAACTTTAAAATACCCACTTAGAAACAATATTTCAGTAAATAGAGGGTTTAAGGCAAGTTATTCATTTGGAAAAATTAACTTCCATTTGTTAATCCTAGATTGACACAATTTTATTCCACCCCATCAGTGCCTTGGGATACACAACGTACATTCAGCAAAGGGCACACATATGACCCTATGGACATACGTTGCAAGTCCTGAGTGCCCATTGAAATAATGGTAACATCTTCATATAAGGCGTGACCCACAGGGACATGGCATGGGAGGGGTTAATTTGTTTTGTTTCCAGTCTTGCTATTGTATGTGATTTTCCTAGATAATGCATTCTTTTCTTACTAAACATCTTTGCAAACAAATACAAACCCCTTTAAAAGGTGCTAAAAATGGGTTTCTGAAAACATACAAAATATATTCATCATAGTATTTCCTCAATCACTGTTTTAATGCTTGATATCTGCAGGTTATTTCTTGTTTCTGACTGAAACTATTATTTGTTGTGGAATAACTGTTCTTTTGCAAAAGATTTTCTTCTTCTTCTAGCTTTCTGGACCACACGGGCTGGACGCTTTCATGCTTTTTACTTCCTTTTTGAGTTCTTTTCAATGGAAATACCAACAACACCAGGATACTGGCAATATGAAGACAGAAATAGCAGGAGCTAAAAAACAAACAAAAATAATAATTCAATAAAACACTGACCATTCTTACAGGACACTTACGGAATAAACTGTCAAAACCCACTTGCATATAGTACTTTGCACCTAAGACATTTAAGTCAGGAAGACATTAATATTTCCTTTTTAGGAAAAGTAGTAAGGGGAAAATCAGAAATTAAGTCTTCCCTCACAGTACTTACTGCTGTATCAGAGCTGTAGAGTGAAGAGAAGTCTGCTTTCAACTATTTTTCACAAAAGCTACTTTTGGGAAGTCATTATCTAATCTTGCTATAAAATAGTTCAAGGGCATGCAGTAATCTCAAAGGTACCCTTTGGTTTTGTTTTTGGTTGTTTTTTTTCCCTGCCCCAGGAAAAATAAGTCTATTATGACAGGAAAATGAGATCACTTTATGGTTTCACATACACAACAGAAACTATGTTCGAGCACTAGAACAGAAATAGTTTGCTCAGCTAACAAGCAAGTCTTATAATTATCACTAAAATAGCTTCAGAAATCTTATGCCACAGAAAATACTTCTATTCCAAGTTAAACAAAAGAAAAAGGAAATAGGTAGAACGTGCTTACCTGTAAAAAGTGAAAGAGGGTTTCACAGAGAGCAGTACAAATGGCACGACTGTGTAACTTATTGCTACTTGAGTTGCCATCCATGTTATAATATCATAACATAGTTTAACAGCAGGAGATTCAACAAAATAGTGTCTGATATTGTTTCTTATCTGAAAATGCAGATAACAGTAAGTTAGCTTAGAAATAAACTTTGAAGACTATCTTACTGTATACAGAGTTTATTGCACTTCCACAAAATTCATAGGATGAATTTAAATGCTACAGTTTGGTCAGGTATCTTTGAACTACTCAAAATACCCATCAGCTTCAGTAAGAGTCAGTTCAAATTCCCTGCTGGCTAGGTATCATCCAGCACAGGAATTTAAGTATTTATGAATTTAAGCAGAATTTAAGTAAATGAATCCTCCCCTAAATCCAATGCGAATTTGGACTGCTTGTCTGAATGAGGCAGGCATTCTATTCTACCAAGCTGTTCTGTAAATACAGAGCGTTGGAGTAAACAAAAGCTCGAATGCTTCTGTTGAAGGCTGCTATATGGTAAGTCATTTTCATATACCTGCTGATAAGATATATTTTAGGACAAGTAGGTTATAAATCAGAATATACAAAATATCAGTTCCAATGGGGTCTTAATAACAACTAATATCAAGTGGGACTATTACCAAAAGACTCAATTTTCTATGCTGAGTCTTCTTTTGTTCATAAAATTCTGTTCAAACAATGGAATACCAAAGGTTAAAAAAAAGTCCAAAACCCACACTGGTTTGGGCTCAGTGTTATTTAAGTCTATTAATTAAAAAGACACCAGTAGATCTTCACCCTTCACTTCCTTTGACTGAACTGTCATCCTTGCTCACACTCTTATTTGCTGACAAGTCAAGATGGGCTCAGTTCAGCCTTTCTGTAGCTTGGTATCACAGTTGCTACCTCCCAGTCATCCATACTGAGGTAGTCCTCTCTGAAAAGCTGCATACCAAAGGACAGTTTAGCTTCTTCATCGTTCACTTCCTTTAGAACTCCTGGTGCTAAAGAACATATGGAAGGCTAGCTTGTGCTGATTTAATTCTTTACATTAAAAGACATTTTTAACATTCTTCTTGTTCTTACTCAAATTCCCCTGTAGGTACCACATTCCCACTCAGCCTTTGCTTAATTAAGTCAAACAAGTCATTCTAGCCACATTGGTTTCATCCTACCATCTGCCCCCCAGTTTTCTCCTATGGTCACGTGCAGTTGTTCCCGAGTTCTGTAAAACCTGGATGAAGTTTCACAGAATTTGTTGTGGAGAAATTTAGTATTTTAGGACTTGAAGGACAACTTTTAACATGTATCTAGAACTGCCCCTAGCAAACACTTGATTATGAAACGTGTAATGATTAAAAGGAATAAAACTAGTTGAATACATGCTTAGTCATGACAGGAGAAGAAAGTGTGGATCAGAGCTGCCAAATTTTGCAGTCTTAATAAAGGCTAGTAGAGTTAAATAATACACATGCTAAAGTACCTCTAACATATCTTATCACTTAATATTAAGTAATTGTTCATACAGAAACTAACAATATTTTTATTTATTAGCAGCTTACTAGCAAAGCCCAGAACAAAGTGCAGTGAGCACTCCGATGTACCGGACTCACCTTACTGAGAGAACACAACAACTTTTACCTGTGAACTGTCCCTGAACCTTGGCTTTTGCACCAGCCCCTGGCTGATAAATGTCAAAAGTTCACTGTGATAGAGTCTGGAAAGGAGAAGGGAGCTACACCTATTGTAAAGAAAGGAGTCAGTTGTGTCTAACAAGGACTATATCCACATCTTTGTGAAGAAAGAGGGGAAACATCTGTTTTATTACTGTTAGTAACCATCTAAATCTGAAGTACCACCTTCCCCTAGCTATTATAGCACAAAGAGCAGTCTGCTTCATTTCTCTTTCTCCTGGTTCTTTCAACAGAAAAGTGGTTTGATATTCTGCTCTGAGCCGACAGCTGATTTTTTTTGTTCCTCTTTCCCCTTGAGTAACTGATAAACCTGCCTCCGTTCTTACTCAGCTTTCTCAAGCAGGACTGAGAGATTCCTTGTCAGATTTGCTGGTACCATGTGGTTCTGAATAGCAGCTGTAAAAGCTTAATGGGACTGCACTGCTGGCTGGCCAATTTTGAACAGAAATAGAGATGTTTATCTGTTGGTTGAGGGGAAGCATTCTTTAGTTACCACCCTTAAAATAGTACTGGACAGAAATTAGAGAGGGGGACAGACTTGATAAATACTGACTCCCTAAATTATAAGTTGCTGATAAACAGTGATAAAGTTTTTTCAAAATTATCTTAGATAATATCACGTTGTTTAGCACAGCATAATAACACATGATCAGTTAATACAGAGGAAAGGCTGCCACAAAAGATATGCTACAAAGATGTTACAGGCTGTGTACAGCCTTGCTTGTTTCTACTGACCCACCTTTCCTTGTCAAGAATCATTCCCACTGGTCTCATAACTAAAAAAAGTAAACAAAACTATCAGACTGTTTCTGTGTCAGCTATAAATCGCATCTTTGGACTACAGAACACGATCAATTTTCTTTTACAGAACTACATGTTATTTAAGAAGATACTTGGTTGATACTTACAGCTCGTGCTGCTAGCGTCATTAGAACTCCTGTTAAAAATGTTAAATAATAGCCTGGGTAAACCCCATGCCAAATGGCAGAGAGGATGAAGGTTTGGATCGTTGGGCTGAAGGTGGCTCGCTCATAGCACACTCTAGCAAGTCAAAGACAATTCAAGATAAATAACATGAGACACAGATCATCAACAATCTTCCCAGTTAGCACACTTTCATCAGTTTCATCTCCAACACATCACTTGCAATGCAACTGCAGTTTACTATTATTTAATAATGTTGCCACTATATTATGATGGACAGAAAATACTTAAAGCTGTTCACAGCTCCTGATGTAACCCCTCAGTGCTAACCTATGCTCAGTGCCATCACATACGGTACTTATTTATAGTGAAGTGTCCAAACACAGGTGTTGGTGTTAATAAGAGATCTTGAGCCATCTAAAAATGTGTTTGAAAAGCTACACTGGAAGGCACAGACTATGCTGCCAACTCTTGCAATGAGTCAGATATATATTTTTCATAAAATTAAAGCAGCTTATAGAAGGGAAAAAGTAACAACTGCCTTCAATTTTGAGTAATAGAGAGATTGCAGTTGAAAATGTGTTTGTGTATGGCAATTAAGTGAGCATGATGATGGAATTATAATTAATGACTCTAGGGATGTGAGAATATCAAAGAAGGAGAATGTTGAACTCTGCTAATTAAAAAATGTGACTCCAAATTATTAGGCAAGGTCCTACAGTAAGGAATTCTAGAAGGAAAAAGGGAAATAGCAATCCAAGAAAAGCAGTTTCTAGAAGACAACATTAAATGACACAATGACAAACCATCATGATGTGGAAGAATGATAGGAAACATGGTAAGGTCCTGATATGGCTTCATCAAGAGTTCTTTAATGTCTTTAATGATCTGAAAACCAAAAAGCAATAGGAAAAATGGAAACAGATCTACACTAACACAAAGCAAAAATAAACAGCACGGGCATGCATGAACACAACTCTAAGGCTAACGTACAAAAATGCATTTTAGCTGGAAAAAAAGAAAAAAGCCATAGACACCAACATGTGAAAAGGTTTTATAAACACATAGCAAGTAACAGAGAGAGAGAACAGGACGTACGTCTATTATTCAAAGAGGAAGACAAGCCAACGACACAGAGGGCCGAAACATTCACTACTGATGTAACTACTTTACTACAACTTCCATATATAGTCTCCCACAGCATTCTCCTGGAGAAGCCAGCAGCACATGGCTTGGACAGGTACACTCTTTACTGGGTTAAAAACTGGCTGGATGTCTGGGCTCAGAGATTATGGCAAATGGATTTAAATCCAGCGGGTGACCAGTCATGAGGGGTCGGCACTGGGGCTGGTCCTGTTTAATACCTTTATTGAGGATCTGGACAAGGGGATTGAGTGCAGCGTCAGTAAGTTCGAAGATGACACCAAGCTGGGCAGGAGTGTTGATCTGCCCGAGGGTAGGAAAGCTCTACAGAGGGATCTGGACAGGCTGGATCAATGAGCTGAGGCCAACTGTATGATGTTCAACAAGATCAAGTGCCAGGTCCTGCACTTTGGTCACAACAACCCCATGCAATACTATGGCTTGGGGAGGAGTGGCTGGAAAGCTGCACAGCAGAAAAGGACCTGGAGGTACTGGTCAACAGCCAGCTGAACATGAGCCAGCAGTGTGCCCAGGTGGCCAAGAAGGCCAATGGCATCCTGGCTTATATGAGAAATAGTGTGGTCAGCAGGGCTAGGGAGGTGATTGTCCCTCTGTACTTGGAACTGGTGAGGCTGAACCTCCAGTACTGTGTTCAGTTTTGGGCCCCTCACTACAAGAAAGACATGGAGGTGCTGGAGTGTGTCCAGAGAAGGGCAACGAAGCTGGTGAAGGGTCTAGAGCACAGGTCTTATGAGGAGTGGCTGAGGGAACTGGGATTGTTTAGTTTGGAGAAGAGGAAGCTCAGGGGAGAACTTATTGCTCTCTACAACTACCTGAAAGGAGGGTGGAGCGAGGTGGAGGTTGGTCTCTTCTCCCAGGTAACCAGTGATAGGATGAGAGGTAATGGCCTAAAGTTGCGCCAGGGGAGGTTCAAGTTGGATATTAGGAAAAATTTCGTCTCCAAAAGAGTGGTCAGACATTGGAACAGGCTGCCCAGGGAAGTGGTGGAGTCACCATCCATGGAGGTGTTCAAGAAACATGTAGATGTAGCACTTGGGCACATGGTTTAGGGGGCTTGGTGGTGATGAGTTGACAGTTGGACTGGATGATCTTAAGAGATCTTTTCCAACCTTAATGATTCTGTGATTCTGTGAAAAGACTGCTGAGACCAAATGACACAGTCAGTGCTAAAGAGCAGAAGGTAAAAAGGCAGAATCTGAACAGGGAAAGATTAAAAAAAAAGTATTTTTCTAATTTAGTTTATCTCAGTCAAATGGATGTGGTAAGTTTTATTTTACAAGTCTTCACTGTGCAGTTCTAGCAGAGTCCCCTCCCCTTGCCAGAGGGCTTCGCTAACAATGCTCATTGAGATGAGAACATGGGCCTAAGTAGGGCACAGGTGCACGCATGCATAATGCACAAAACTGTCTGAGGACATTTGCTCACAATAGATCATCTTAAAGAGGAAATCAGCACTGGCCAGACTGAACAGTAACCAGGGAATTTCAAAGAGACTTTTGAAACAAAGATGTCAGGCTAGAACGTAGAAAAACACTAGGAAAATTTCTAATAAGTCATGGAGACACCTTGGAGCAAAATACTAGTCATCAAAACCTGCTCTGACACTGCCAGAAGTTGCCCCACCAGCATCAGGACCTCTATCTCAGCCGAGACAGAGCTTCTTTCCTGGTAGACACCAAGTAGCCTGCATCCAGCTAGGGGACAGTCAGTGCAGTGTAAATACACAGGGAGCAATATCTCATCCCTATCAGCTGCAGGCACATGAACTCATGGCATGCTTTTCTGACTGGCATGTGAATCAGCAGGTTCACATAGAGCTGGAGCATCTCCCACAGCAGTGCACACAAGCAGGGGGCCCACGCTTCCAGAAGGAGGTCTGGGTTTGTAACCGACATGCCCGTGGGAGCGGAGGTGTGGTTTACATGCAGCAGTGTGTGTGTGTGTGTGTGTGTGTGTGTGATTTTTTTTTTTAAACTCTTTGGCATAGTTACAGAAGAGCATTTAGAAATTTGTTTATTAAGCCACAACACTAAGCACTTACAAAACGTTATCTGTTCTAGCACTGATATTAATTCTGAATGTATATCACTGACATGTGATTAATAAATTGATAAATGGCTTCAATCTTTATTTGCTTTGAACTACTTTAACTAAGCAGATTTTCCCTTGCAAAGCATTCAGGAGCTAACAAAACTACCTAAATTAACTAATCAAATTTCAGCTATATCAACGCAAGTCAGATAAGATATATACTGGGGAAAAAAAAAAATCACCAGGTTTCAAATTCAAAGAGTTAAAGGTAAGCTTTAAAAACTCCTCCATGGACTGTCAATAATAAATCATGTTGAAATGCTTCATTTGACAATCCAAAAAAGAAAACCAAGGAAATATGGTGATCACAACAGGCTGAGAAAATCTATTCAAATATGGGTGGTTCAGGTTATCTGTGATTTGCTCTAGAAGTGGGAAGATGCATCAAGTGTTCAGCAAGGCAGTCCCCTTGGTCTGGTTCTGTACTTTCATTATTAGCTTGGGTAATAGACCGAGAAGTGTGTTTTTCCACCTTGCCTTTCCTTCTTTTTTGGGGGCTGTGGATGTGGAGGGGGTGGGGAGACTGGAGGAGACTGGCATTGTTTTCTTAACAGATAAGAGCACTAGAATACAAAATTATCTTGAGAGACTTGAATGATGTTCTGAAATCAACAAGATGAAGTCCAGAGTCTAGAATATCTAAGAAGAAAAGTGGAAGATACAAAACAGTACCTGACCATTTAACATTACTGAAGAAGTGTAGCTGAGCATGAATATGAATCAACACTATGAAACACTGAGTATCAGCTGAGCATGAATCAACACTAGATTGCTAAAAAAAAAAAAGACATGTAATACTGTGATGCATTTGCAAGAATTATCTAAAGAAAAGAAGGGTAACTAATCCACTCAAAGCATTCAACTGTGCTCGTAACAAGCCAGGGAAAGACCTTGGAGGTCTTAGCAGAAGCACTACATCTACTGTAAGATGACAGGAAGGTTGGAAAGAAGCCAGAAGACAGCAAAAAGAACCACAGAGGTTTTGCAAACATGACCAAAGACAAAAGGAATTAGATGTTTTCTTTGGAAAAAACAATCAACAGGCTGAGGGGGAACATAACAGCTTCTCCAGTCAGGAAACATTATCATGATATATATTATTGATATATGCTGCTATTAAAGTATCTATTTTAACTAGCATGCTTTTAACAATATTACCTTTGAGCTGCTGAATTTTGTGATCTACACTAAATGTTTATTAAACTTCTTTAAGATCTATAGACAGTTAACTTTTTTCAAAGGGTTTGTTTTCACACACAATCAAGGTTTAAGTTTGGTTCCTCTTTCAAGAGCATAAGAAAAGAACAGAATGAATGCTGACGTCTGATATTTTTGTATTTCATGCAAGATAAATGCCCAAGATTTTTGATACTTGTATAAATGGTAAACAGGTGAGGTATTAAAAGTGAACGTTTAAAGTAATTCATGAGCTTGTCCTCTGTTCAAACATTGCAACTAACCTAATTATTGATAATATAATATGTACTCTGGACCAATATTTATGCCTCAAATATAATCATTAAAACAACTTCATATTGGCAACAAATCATTAAGGAAACATTTACCGTTCTCCCTTTCACTGTGGCAAAATCAATATGTACTTAGACTATCCTCAAAGATTCTTCTACAATTGTTCTTAAAAAGTTAAGAGCAATTAATTGTTCTTAATTGAACTTAATTGTTCTTAAAATATTTATTAAAACACATGCTTTAAGTTTTCTTCAAATCTTTTAATGTCACCCTGAACAATTCACCCTGAACCATTTTTTCCCTTTCAATTCCTAACAGAAATGGTACTTGTCTCCACTAAAAGGGAGTTTTAATTAAACATCATTCAATTTAGGAGCTTTGAAATTTTGTTGGTACACAACCTTCTCTTTTAAGTTTTAATACTAATACTGTTTTTTAACTAAATTAAAAAATAGCTTATTTGCTTTTTTAAATGACACATTTCAATACCTACAAGCATGCAATTTTTCCTTAGTGACTGTCCTAGCCACAGGACATTCTATTGCCTATTGAGCCAACTAGAATAATCACATAAGTTTCAATTTCTGTTTTTAATTGGGTCAGAAAAATATTTAGGGAACAAATTACAGAAGAAAGAGAATACACTATAAAAAAAATTGATGGGAGCAAAATCCTGTTGCCAGCCATCCTAGAATATGAGATAAAGTCCTCTGAATGATCCCAAGATGGGAGTCTCGGTTAAACTCTCATCTATTCATTAAATATCATCTACACTGAGACTAGTAGAAGGGAAAAAAAATTTGTGTACTACTCAAAAACAATTTTTTACTTTCTAGTTACCATAAAGAAGTAGTAAAAGCAGAGCGATTTAGCTCACTGGGCATTACACCTGTTTCTCAGACAAGGAAAAAAGGGCATCTGAGGGATACTCAATTTTTTTTGCTAGCACATCATAGGGTTTGGTATTTGCCACATACTCTTCACAGAAGGAGTGCAGAAAGTTGTCTCACAGAATGTATGGAAGGTCCTGTATCAGTGTGTGGGTAAAAAATAAATAAATAAATAAATAAAAAGCAGAGTTTCCACAGGCTCCCAGCCAAAGACGTGCATTTCGCCTGTCAGCAACATGCACCACTTTGAATGCTAAGAGGGGAAAAAAAGAGACACCTTCACAGCTTAATGCTTTCAGGTTCCCTAAGACCAGTGAAGAAAAACAGTTTCTATCATTACTTGATAGTTTACACTAAAAGAGAAGTGCTAAATCAGGGGCTTTAATTTAAGTATTACAAGAATAATGTCCTGTGCAGTCACTAAACAACCATATTGTTTTGTTGGGTTTAGCTTTAAATGTTAAATTATCTTCAAAGACATATTTATCTAAGAAACTTAATTGGAGAAAAGTTTTCCTTTAAGAAATAAATACCTTTTAAGCCAAAGAGCTGTTTGGATATTCCAGTTATCAAGAAACATCTTGAAGCTTGTGGAAAACTGTAAAGTAAAAAGAAACATCTTGAAACTTGTGGAAAACTGGAAAGTAAAACCAAAGGAATTATTTCCATACTTGTAAAATGTTACAAAATATTTCAAAATTCTGACATATAAATTATAAAAAACACCCCTACTTTGTGATGAGTTGAATAAGGTATGTACTCAACTACTTATAGCCACAAAATAATTTAGAAGTCAACTGACAAGTAGAACATATTCAAAACAGACTCTATTTTCCATCTTTTCCTAAGGGTGTGAACACGTCATTTCTGACTTCGAACATATTCACTGTCTTGAGGAACGAAATGCTTAGGAAAAGTTACAGAGATTACAAGCAACTACGTACATGGGTATGTATTTTATTTGAAAGAGTCATGAACAAACCTCTATTTGCTGGATTCTCAGATTTGATATTAGATCCCAATGTGTAACTCCATTTTTATCATAGCCTCTAAAACCAAACCCTGCTGCATTGTTAATTGCATCTGCTGCAATGAAACAAAAAGAAACAAGTGAATTATAAACTGCCTGCATTACAAATTGTGCATCACACAACATGTAGTTTGTTCAAAATATTTATCATATTTTAAAGGCTATTTAAAAAAAAAAAAAAATACTAAGGACAACCATATTAGACATTTGAACAAACAGAAAATAATCCAAGCAACGCACTGGCTTTCAATTTAAAAACTTGTACAAAAGCAAAAGAATGCTTGATTGCATGTCCCCAGACACGGACACACATCCACGAGGCATGAACCCAACTGCGTATCCACTTATGTGGATAAAAAAGTGATCATGGGAAGAAGAATGCCAGTTTCCCTTCCAGTTCAGAGGTGTCCTGAGGAATTGGAAGTGAGGCAGGCAAAAGGCTCTGCAGAAGCAGTATAGATCTAGCCCTCTAGTTACAGGGCATGAGCCCTCTCTGGTAGCTCAGAATTCATCTAAAGCACTGTAATTAGATTGTCACCTTTTAACTTACAGCTAGCAAGGCAAGAGAAATTGCTCAGTTTGTATTACCATATTAAAACCAATTTACTTTAAACAAAAGTGATATGTAAGAGAAATTAATATATTTATCATTTTCCTTTCTTCTCAACAACTTTTTCAAGATATTAATCCAGTGTATTTGGGAAGTAAAAGAAACAATTGACTCAAACAGTTCCTTTCCTGAAGTTCAGTTTCTCCAGTTATCTACCAGTCTAGAAAAGGGGTTTGTGACATTTGATTTAATATAGGATAATTTATAATATTTTTATTTCCTCATAAAAACAATTTTAAAAAACATCTCTGAAAGCAACTAGATTTGCTGCTATACATCTGATATCACTGATTTCAACTTCAAACATTAGACAATGATTTTATGCTCAATTAGAAACAGTTGAAGACAAACTCCACACTAGCTAGAGTACAAAGACTAAAGCTAGAGTAAGTACTCATTAACTAGAATTTTAGTAAGTATGCATTTTAAGTAATTAATTTTTTTTAACAGATTTCTTTTTCTGAAGTACAAACAATAGTAACATACAACTCAAAAGCATAGCATCCAGTAAAACTGTTAAGGCCCTCTCACATTCTATTCATACTGTTAGAAGTTTAGATGAGGTAAAGTGGAAGAAGATAAAAAAAATAATTTAGCAAACTAGAAGTACAGGGATGATATAGTTTATTGTCTTCAGTATTTTACCAAAGGAATGCACATAAGGGAGAAATCTATCTGAAGTATTACAGGGAAAAAAACAAAGATTATTAATTTTCCAGATAACTTTTACTCTTTACAGACAATCATATTGGTGCATAAGAGCACAATACTTGAAATTATTTCATTCCACAACAAGTCCCAGAATTACTATATCCAGAGAAGCTGAAAGCACTTCATTCACAGACCAGGAATGGAACCAGCAGCTGTAAATGAGTCACACTGCTCTGCTGCACTAAAGCTTTCTTTATTGCATTGTTTCCCACTGATTCTCTCTCAAAAGAATTACGAAACAAATATGTAAAACTGGAGAGGAGGAGGAAGCTGATGAAATCTGTTTTGTGAGCCATTTCCAAGATGTCAGCTTACATAAATACAGCACTTTGCTGTTGTATGTGTTGTTTTTTTCAAATAACGTGAAGTGCAAAACATCCTTTAAACTGTATCATCTATTCAGTGTCTTAAATCAGTGACTACGGGTGTTATCCCATCAGTCATTAGAACTCTTAGTAAATAAAGACTAAAACTGAAGTGTCACCAATCAAATTGTGAAAATACTACTGCAAATGCTATCTACTATTAACAACACTATGAAATATCTTAATTGCAATATATTCATTTTTCCTTCATGCTTGAATAACATCAAGCAAATTACTGATAACTAAGCACAAAAAGAGGTTTAGAATAACTTTTCAGACATGCTAAAATCAAGGTATCAAAAAAAAAAAGGGATTGTACATTAGACTGGATTTACTACAATTTTTAAAACCCAAAAAAGTCATTGCTCATTAAAAAATTATCACTCTCCAAAAAACCTTATGTTTCACTCAGATTTGTTCAGGAGGCCAGGATCTCATTTGCAACACTGTCACAACACTGTGCTTAGATTTATCATAAGTTTTGTTCAACAATATCTCATAATTCTTAAATGTAATAATGCTTTCTTAAGGCCTCAAGAGGGCACTGTCACATTTTCATACATGCTTAGTGTGCAGCATCTCAAATGAAACTCAACACCTATACTTCCTTGTATTTTTTTTTTTTTTTAATATAAATACTTACCTAAAGTCCATGCAAAATAATACTTAGGCCTGGCAGCCATAAGAGACACGTATAGGTAGAAAAACCTTACAGGCCACGATGCTGTAGCTCGGAAGTTATCATCAATGTTGTATTCCACAGGCAAAGTTTTTGTAATAGTCATGTGGAAGAGTAAGGACAGTCCACAGATTAAGAGTTTCTGTGCCACGGCTATCTGAAAAGTTTAAGATGAGAGACTTTGTAAGATTCATTTTTGTTAATCTTCTGGAAACAAAGGCAAGTTATAAACTTCCTTCCCTAAACAGATGTATATATATGTCAATTTTTCAGTAATATACACTACGTATTTTAAAATTGTTGATAACATTTTACAGAGGCTCAAGGAATATTATATCTTGATTAAGTTGTGAGTACCACTTCTTCGGACAAACACAGCAAATCCAATCCGACTACAGTGAGCCTCTAAAAACCCTTTCAATAACAGGAAAAACTTTTGCAACTCCAGTTTTTTTCTTATTTCATTGTCAAATTACTGAAGCGAGTAAGTTGTTAAGACATCATAACATAAAGCATATTATCTAGGACGAGTACAATTATGGCAGAGATTCCAAAAACAATGGCAAATCTTCAGTTCATTTTTGCTAATCTTTGGTATAATGTACGTTTTTAATTGCTGCCCAGCAATTGATATATCAATCATCTCTGTTAGATTATTACAATATCTAAATTCTGAACCAACTAAAATACTGAAATAATTTATGAATTTTCAGCCAAAATACATCAGTTCTGTATAGATCTGTTTTCCCAACTAGAGTGACCAAGCTATAAGGGGTCAAATAATATCCTCACAGGCACGTAAAAATATGTTGTTGAGGTGGCACTTGGACTCAGATTTTCTCAAAACTCAGTTTTGCTAGAACCACCACGCTAAAGAGTATGTATTTTTAGGAAAACATTTCTAAGGTTCTATTATAAAACACACTGAGCAGTAACGCATAACACTGACTGCTTTAATCTGCTAGTCTGATCCATTTCCCAAGGGCAGATACCATGTTCTGTGCAAGTTCCTAAAGTAACACACTAGCCAAGCACCTACAAAAGAGAAGTTGGAGAGCTAGTTCATTTAAATGTCATTTTCAAGTTTTGATTGTAAGTAATCTCAATATTTAGATTTAAACAGTAGAGTTTTAATTTACATTAAAATTTTACAGGTGTTAAACTTGTCAAGAAAGCAATCAATCTACCTATCTTTTCTTTGAAGCATCAAAACAAAAAGATAACCAGAATCCTTTTTCTGTCCATCCTGCTTCCAGTATACCTGTCCAAACTTTTAAAGACAACATCCTGCTTCAATTAGAGTGCAGCTTCACATATCTAGTTCCAAAAGAAAAAGTAATTCTGTTCCATGATACAGAATGGAGCATTAAGTGCCCAACTGAAAACACAGACTTCTGCAGGACACACAAAGATTCACCCAGTCACACGTATGTAAGCAGTGGTACAACCTGATCAAAAAAAAAAGACTTAGAAAAGCTGTAAGGTGAGTATAACGTTGGATATCACATATATTTCTTGTGGCTTGTCTCAGAAGGTATTTCAGAGAGGATCAGAAAACCCAGCTAATCAAGCAAACCAGCTGGATAATTCAGGAGTCAACTACCTATTAACAGCTAAAGCTAGTGTTTAATTACTTGTTTCTACACGCTTTCTAATAAATTTCATTTTAATATTTTACTCTGTTACAAGAGTTCAAAGTAAAGGGAATTAACTTTCTAAAAACGTTCCTTTGTTTTTCTAGCAACTATTAATCCATCTCTTTCTTTGCCAGAGCAGAGGGAAAGTTCAGTTGGCTTAACTTCTTTAGGAATTTAAATAGAAATGAATGTTCATAAAAATCAGTTATTATTAACACTAATGAATCTTTAATTTTGGTATGCAATATCTGACACACTGAAAAGTTAGATATTTGTAAATGCCTAAAGGCATCATTCTATAGTTCTGAAGGCAGCTGACAGGATTTAACTTCACAGTCTAAGCCATAATTAAAAGTCATGTTCAATTTAGCATGAGAAAGAGTATTTATAGGATGGCAATATTAACATGTGACTTAAAATATAAGCATAAACATATAAAATAGGTGTTTTCCATCTGAAGATCTCTACTAAGTCTCAAAATATGTTTTGGCAATTTATAAGTAATGTTATCTCTGTTTAAAGGACTGCTTTTTGCCACTGCCACTATTTACCACTTTTTTTTTGGTAAATAGAAATCACTAATCTGCATGTTCAACACGAAATATACTTAGTACCTCTTTGAAAGTTTTTAAATAAATTGTGAAGGTGAAAGACCTTCTAAGGAAAAGCATCAGAGTTTCAACAAAATGTATCTTAAGAAAAAAATTAAGGACTCATATAGGGCTCTGCCATAAATTGTACTTTTAAAAAATAAACTCTGCAGTTTTCAGTTTGCAGTTGTAGAAAAAATATTTATTTATTTATTAAGTATTTAAATGATGTATTTCTACTACTTTTTTAGCAGCAACATGTAGGTGTAGGCCAAGCATAACTACACCAAGAAACAGCATGACTTTTTTTTTTTTAATTATACTACTTCATTCAATAATTCTAAAACCCAGAAACCCAATCAAGCATGCTGATACCACTCACAGGGATCAGTATGAGCGATACTAGCGTCTTCAGCAAACAGTGATGGAGATAATCTCCTGCCTCTACAAAGACTGGGAGTTGCAGTTTCAGGACTGGTTTAAGCAGAGTTTCTGAAGGACAATCCAAACACAGGCTGCAATGCAAAGAAGCAGTCCTGTCCTGTCTCCTCACCTTGGCTGCAAGTTTTTGCTCTTTTGCCTTTCTAATGAGACAGATTAGAGAAACAAATCAGGTGAAAAACTAGACTTTTTGTTTTTTTGGGTTTGGTTGGGTTTTTTTTGGAGGTGGGGGGGTGGGTTGTATTGTTTGGAGTTGGGTTTGTTTGGGGTTTTTTATAACAAGTTAGTTTTAGGCTGGATCAAATGATCTGAATCTGATCACAACACAGTGCAATACATGTTAGCACTGCTAGGATAGCAAAGGACCCAGAAGCCACAGCCAGGACCTACCATATCCAGCAAGAGTTTATACTTTGGTTGGCCTAAACAGACTATTAACCTACAGCCTGAGGCTTGTTTATAGCACTCAAGTACTGAACACATTTACATAGAAAAGTCCTCACCTGACACCAAAATAATCTATAGTTCAATTACCTATAGAAATGCATTTGGTAAAACACTAATTAACTTCCTATTGATTAATTAACTAGGTTATTGATATAAGCTTCTTTACTGAGGCATAAATGGGTAATCACTGGATTGCACATACACAGCAGGTTTGGTCAGTTTTTACAAGGATGAAGTAACTAATTTAAAAGTTTGAATTTTATTTACTCTTTAAAGTTTTGAACACATCAAAATAACTGTTCTGTTAAGGAATTAAAAGATCATAAACTGCAGGATAACGTTGACCTCATATAAAGTAGAATATACAATTTATTTTACAATAAAAAGGTAGAAAAGCCTGGCTGATTTAATTTTGATGAACAAAAGCTGGGCATACCTGGATAAAAATATAAAATATGGTCAGTACTGGGAAGGGAAATAGGTACTTAAGCTAAAAGACAGTGCCAGGACAAAAGCAAGCATGCATAAACTAGATGGGAATATAATTAGGTTGCAAGCTAGATACCTAATCAGAGAAAGGAGTTCAGGAACAGCTTTCTAACTGAAGCTATAAAGATAAAACACTCACTGAACTCAGGAATTTTATAAATATATTACTGTATAAACCTGTATAATATATGAAAATATATACAAAAAAAGTAGAAAGAGCAAATAAAACTTTTATTTGAATGAACTTGTTCCTGGCTGATAAAAAAATCAATAAGGAGCTCAATATAATATTGAACTATATTAAAGCATATTATTTTGTGGAGGTTAGCACCTCAGGTAAAAATTATAGGTAATTAAGCAAGAACTTTAAAACCTGCATAATAAGCAAGAAAGCAGATATCTGCTGACAGGAATCTTGTATTTTAAGGGTAGCCATAATAAAAAGAAACTTACAAAGACAGATATTAATTCTGAGAGTTGACACCACTTTGAGCACCAACAATTGATAGCTTGCAAAAAGGCACAATAGGAGGGATATAAGAAATAAGTTTTAATATGTTGACTTGATTCATTTAACATGCAATGAACACAGCAAAAATACTAAACCAAGTTAACATCATGCAGTCAATACATAGTACAGAGGAAGAGGCTGGCATTAACTACTTTGGTTATGTAATTATATTTAACAAGAAATGAAACTTACTGTAACTCAGCTGAAGGATTTTTTCTTTTTTCATTCACTATATTAACATTTGCTGATCCCCATTACATTTCATTTTTTTGAGTTACCTAACAATTTATTCTTCTTGAAATAGTAACATGAGAATCAAAGAACAAAATTAAAGTATTATTATGAAGTTAATGTTCTAGAACAAGACAATGAATATTTTAATTGATGCAGCAAATGCAGTAAAATTATATCATCCATGTTTCTCCAAAAGCACACCATACTCACTGGTGTTATAAAATGCAGCCAGATTTCTCTAACACCAGTTGGGAGATGAGATATCAACAGCATAGACAGCTTCTCTTTATTTTTATGTCAAAAGCTAATGCAGCATATATTGCAAAAAGTTTCAAGCATCTTATGAGCAATTCATTTCAAGGAAAACTGCTTACCTGAAACAAGAATCCATCATAGGTTTACATTTACTTCTATCGACTTTGTTCAGATTACTAGCAAGATTATGTAGTAAAAAGCTAGTAAGTCCTACCAGGCAATCAGTAGATGCATGTCCAGAAGTACTGATACTGGCAGATTTGGTTAGTTCCATTTATTTGCAATAATTTTACTACATAATATTTTTCTGCAGAAATAGGATTTTAGTACATAAGCTGTGATGGAGGAAGATGAGCTAGAGCAAGTTTAGGTTGGACTTTAGGAAAAGGTTCTTCACCCAGAGGGTGGTGGAGCACTGGAACAGGCTCCCCAGGGAGGTGGTCATGGCACCAGGTCTGACAATGTTGAAAAAGCATTTGGACAAGGCCCTCGACAAATGGTCTGAATCTTGTGTTTGTCCTGTGCTAGGGCAAGAGTTGGACTTGATGATGCTAGTGCATCCCTTCCAACTCACAACATTCTATGATTCTATGCCTTTACTGAGCCAAAACAATGTTTAAAAACAAAAGAATGGTCTGTAACTTTGCCAATACAACAAACACATCAATGCAGACTACAGACTACGAGGTGCAAGGAATTCTCCTGTGTCTTTTGCCCTTCCTACTTGTTCTACAACACACTGCTGTGAGCTTAGGTGCTTTATCAACATGTGGAGCAGTTTAAAGTGTTATCATCCTCCTAGTTTACATTCCTGTGGTGCAAGTTACTACAATTACACAAGATGAGTAGAACAGAAGGTGCAGGGTTCTCATTCATATTCAAAGGATGGAAGTGGTTGGAGATTATACAACCGATTGGGAAGCACTCCCTGTTAGCCCAGCTTTGGGGATGGTAACCTCTAGCTGGTAGGATAAGACAAGCAGCTACATGTGGGAATGTCTTCATCTGCTCCAGTAACAGCTAGTGGTCCACAAGATAAGCAGAAAATAGGTAACTGGCACTGGAATTGGCAAAAGGCATTTATCTGAAGTGTTCCAGTCGACTCCATGATGCTTCTGCTTTTTATGTGTGGTAGTAATTATCTTAGGCAACACAAATTTAAAAGTCTGATACACTTCTATTTAAGAGAATATGAAAAGACTGAAAAGATAATATTCCATACCCTGAGCACTGAACTTGGATTAAATTTAAAAAGTAACAAGCCTTTGGGAGCTTTTGACCTTAATGCAGGCCATACCATACCTCTTGTATGTAAGGTATGATCAACTGGACTTTCTTCTGTATGTATTTGGTCTCTTTTCCAATAACTGAACAAAGAGAAAAAAGGAATATGCAGTATGGAATACTAGCCATAGCATTACGGCTAGTACATCTTTTACTATACCTTCAGATCAAAATCCATCTTTAATACCTCCCTACTTGAATAAAAGCAAGAAAAATGTGTGAGTTTTGGTTTTGTTTCTTTTTCTGTGAGTGTTTTTCAACTTGTTACATATGAAAATTTTCTACTTGCTGCAAAAAGACATTAAAAATGGTAGAATTTGAGAACATTCATGAAACCTTGCTGGAACTTTTAAGTCTCATCAGCTTTCAAATGGCAAAATGTGCACTTCATCCTTACCAGGACTTTTTTTATGCACAGTATATGCTTTGAAGGAAACATGCAAGAACTGTTTTAATGTAAAGACAGCTTTTTACTATATAAGCTTGTTAGGAAGCTCCAATTTAATGTGCTTTTATCCACAAGATTCAGACTGGAAACTATAGAGAAAACCTGCCTTAGAAAAGTAAGTATTTCACTTTTTGAACAGGGAACTATACTGTTGATGAACGAATTCCAGATACAGCTCAGAAGTTATGCCTGTAAATGAACAGTGCAAACCAAGCTCTTCATGCAATGATTATGGAAGCATCTGCACGGCAAGAGTCATACATCTTACATTTGGAGAAGGATCCGTTTGTTCATACTTTGTATCTTCCTTCCCATTTGCTTCAGATTGTTGCAGTTGATATGATCTGCCTTCAATGAAAGTAATATAGTCTTTGTAAGAGCATAACGGGCCTGCCAGGATACCCATGAAATTACAGTTGTAACTTAAATACTCCAGTAGACTTGGCATACGTCTGTAATTCAAAGACAAGCAACCTGTGAGAAGGAATGAGTAGTTCTACAGAATTTCCACAGTAGGTAAAAATCATACTCCACGTTATTGCTTACTCTAACTGCAGTAAAAGCCACATGTAGAAAAGCAGTTTGTGTGTCTTTTGCAATCACAGCTTAAAACATCCTACACATAGTACTTCTTTCCAATCCGTACTGAGCATTTTCAGATAGATCTCCTGAACTCTGGTGACTCTCTCCTTGCCCAGTAGAGGTGTTTGACTGAAGCTGTGCCTGGGGAAGGAGAAGGAAGGGTGTTCCCCTAAGTATTTGTTCAACTGTTTATGTTTTCTTTTTTTCCCTGAATAACTGAATCAGTAAACAAAAGTTTGTGTTAACTGGTAATAACTTCAATTAAGGAAAATGCCTCAAGTCAAGATTGTTTTGCCCAGGACAACATATATTTTCAAGTCTCCTGAATAAAGAACGGAGAAAAGGTAAGTTAAATACTGAAAAATAGAATTATACAAGCATGTTCCTTCACCAGCTACTTTATTTGTGTCCTAAATGTTAACTGTTTTCCTGTCTGATGTGGCATGAATTTGCATGGACTGCAAAGAACTCAGAATGCTTTTCTTAAATAAGTATAAAACCTACTAGTGATATTTTCCAGAACAGATGTATGAATTAAGCTACAAATACAAAAAGGATCTGTTTTGCATGAGTTTGTAAACTCTCTATCTTGAACATGACCTCTAGCAATTCTACAGAGCATTAATAAAGCACACAAAACACCAGCTTCTCCTCACCCCCAAAACTGGACTCTCAGAAATGTCTGAATGCCTACCTTACAGCCAAGCACCTCTGTGATGGAGTCAAATCTTCAGTTTTCCGAAACATTCCTAGGGAAGAAGACAGAAAAAAGGAAAAAATAAAGAAAAGATAAAGCTCCACACATTAATTAGCAGTTTCTTTACTCAGTAGAGCAAACCTCATGCTACAGTGTAATTTCTTAAGTCCTCAAGTAATTTCAGAGGTATTATGTCACATAACATTTTTGCTGGAGTTGGATCAAACAATTCTTACTGTTGACAAAATTACAAACTCTTGTATCCTCAGTTATATCCAACAGTGCCTACACCTGAAATTACATGGATTACAGGAAAGTATTAAGAAAGGTTGTAATAAGTGTTGACAAATAAATTCCTTATACTGGTTAAGATTTCAAAGTTTGCAGGTTTTAAAACCCTTTATTCCCAGTCCTGGAAATTGTACAAGTCCCAAACCCCTTTGAACACTGCAGTAAGCCAGGGACATTCCACTAGTCCTTGTGCTTTTAATGTATAGTATGAACATAATCCAAGATAGATTTAAGTAATTCAAAACTTAAGGCAGACCTCAAGAGCACCTTCATGCTGCAACTGAAGTTTGTAAACAAGGTTCAGCAAAGCAGACACAACAGTAAAGGGCGCTCAAGTCTTCATGAGCACTAACGAGAAGCCCTAACCCCTGCTAGCAGAAGGGGGCAGACCAAGTCTAAGTTCAGCAGCAAGACTGAATTTACCTTTTCACCATACAAGACACTTTCTGAAATGCTGGTGGCCTACCCCTGAAAAACAGGCTTCAAAATCTGTACTCCCATAACAAAGTAAAAAAGATGACCTTCAACACTTTAAATTATTATAATACACACTAATTCAGGGGCACAGTAGAAGCAAAGCTCCTTCCTTTAGACAGCCCTGGTTTGTACCAGCCAGCACTGCTTCCCAAAATGACTGCTTCAGCTCCTTCTGCAGCCCTTCCACTGGTTAAGACATTAACGTATGCATCCATTCCCTGCTATTTACATTTGCAAGTTTTCTTTGCCATCACAAGCACCAAAAAAATATATTTTTATGAGCATAGCTTCCTAAAGGAAATGAAGTTTATGGAATCCCACTTCAATTATTCATATAGATATGAAATACCAAAGTGCTTTATGAAAATAGGTGATTCTACAGAAGATCCTCCTCCATTCACAGAAAGGTTGCCTTCAACCCCACCCCTTGATGCCAGTAGATCCACAGAGGGGAGCCCTTATATTTGATTCAAGCATAAGGAAAGATTTAACTGGAGTAAATGTTTTTTTTTTTTAGATATCAAAATCAGTCAGGCTTAAAATAAAAAAATGACTGGGAGGTGGGGGGGGGGGAAGTCAAATCTCGTTTAATTCTATTACTCATGGAAATATTTGCTATCTAGAGAGAAGATAACTGTTGTCTTCATGTGACCACAGGAACCACGACCCATACACACTTTTGACATTCTAACTGCACTTTCAGACCAACAAAGCTGAGAATACACAGGGGTTAGCAACTTGCCCTGTCCTCTCTTCCATTATGACCTGGAAAAATACCTTCCTCAGCCCTGATCCTTCACAGTGGAAAGTCACCCCCATTCGTACCCATTCAAGGCAAGAAATTGAAGGACAAAGCATCACCCCTAACTTCACTCAGGCACCTTCTCTTCCCCATCATTACATTTTCACAACTCCTCTTTGGTGCTACAGCAAAGACTTCTATGCTGATAGCCGTACTGAACAAAAAATGTGGGAGAAGCATTTTGAAAGGTCCTTTAACCTTTGAGGCCATAAGACTGCAGTTCTCAGGTAGTGAATCTTTGAATTTAACACAAACTTAACCAGAAATTTAACACAAAGACTTCTAAAGATACACATAGATCACGCAACACGACTAGTGTATTGAAGTGGCCAGTACAGAGCCTTCAGACTCTCACAGCATATACAATGCAAACTGACCAGAGCAGAAGGCTTCTTCGCTGTTATATTCCATGTGACTATTTTACTCTTAAGGCAGAAGGACGAAGCAGTCACCAAGTGTGTCCAAATGAACTTGCATAAAGCCAGACTAACCACTAAATAAAGGAAACTTGTCAAATGAAAGATTTCACACTATTTATGTGGTATGGAAAAAGAAGGGAAAAAACCTCAAACCTGAAACTGAAAAATGTAACCACTGAAATATGACCTAAACTTTTTGGGGGGTGAGAAAGAAAGAATTGGCATATTTAAAACAGATTTAAGTTCTATACACACATACATGAGAAGTCACTTAAAGCCTTAGTAATCTGGTGAGCAATGCACTTGCTGTCTCAAACACACCACATACAAGTAAGCTGCCATTAATTTTTCATTTCCTATCTCACTAAGATTTCCCTCCAGCCAGCAGCTTCTTTGAGGTCAGTTCAGTGGCTTTCCTTGCATTTTTTTAATGTCTTCTCAGGGCCTTGAAGGCTCATTTATCATCTTTGCATTGCACACAAGAACAAGGAAACCATTGATCTCTGTCATACTCTTGAAAGCTTTCAAGAAGTTAGTGTTAACGTTTTTTAATTCATAGAAAATACATATAGAAAAGGTACTCTTACACTGATGCTTATCTAATAAGAGATGAATTAATAGATATACATTAAATACTTCTCAGGCAGTGTATCTGCCCATGGGAACAGAGGCCTCATAAATCATAGCTGTTCCCTACCTGCTACACACTGGAGATGAAGAAACCCCCCTTCAGTAGCATGCCGCTGCTAGGGAACTCATCAAGTTTTGCAACCTTTCTCTGGGGATTATGAGAATTGTTTTCTCCTGTCCTAAAGCAGGAGACTAATGCAATGACTAGAGCTTCTAGTTGCTACCAAATCACACAGTGGGGATCAGAGAAAATGGGTTTTATCGAACATCTTTCAGAGAGGTGAAATCCTTTGGTCACTCAGCAACTGTAACTCAGTTTTCTCATCTGTAAAACAGGAAATACTTCTATGTTCCTTCCTTAGTAAAAGAATTTTGTAAATCATCAGTACCAAAATCTATCCTCAGTAGCCTAGATCATGAGGAAGTTGCATCTTTTAATTTCTCCTCAGAAGATCACATCCTAATGACAACAAAATCATTCTCTTTAGGTACACACCAATAGCCTACCATATGGGCTTTATTAAGGCATATCCTGACTACTACCATGCTCTCGCTATGATAATAACTGTTTACAATTATATCATAGCACCATCCCAGTTTTGCAGTTAAACTGCTTGAATATATCCACCTTTGTATTTGCATGAAATCTGGCTAATCAGTAACTCATTAATAATGCTTACACATAAGATTATATTATATTAATAATACTTAAACATGGAGATCATATCACAGGCTCTGTTGTAGCTGCAGCAAATTTTAATTTGATGTTATGAAATGGATCACCAGCTGAGCCCAAATGCATGCTGTTATTAAAATATTTTAAGACCTGAAGAAGACAGACAAACTGTAACAGTTTTAGCTGTTACTAGCACATTGGCAGCAACAAAAGCAGACAGACACAGATGCCAGTTGAGTAAAATTGCAAAGAAACTACAAAAGAGCAAGAAAAATCACAAGTCTTGATATCCAGAGAATCATGCAAGCAAATGTAGGCCCAGAACACCACTTGAGGACTTAGGAGGGGAGAAATACAATTTAATTCCTTTAAACACTAATGACACGTGCTGTAATCAAAAGTGATTTGGTAACTAATACTCAAACAATAATGACCATGCTGTCACTAATGCAAGAGGAAGCACTTAAAAATAAAATAAAATAAATATATACAGATCAAGAGACAGTTGGAGAGGGAGCATTCAAATAAACTCCTAGATATAAGAAGAAAACATCAGTTTTGTTTTTGTTTTTTTTTTAAAAAAAGTACACACACACACACACCCCACCACACCATGGCAGTTTCACTGACATCATTGACATAATTAACAGATGAATTAGAAAACAACATTCTTGGTTGAACAGCTGCAACTTTTTTGTTGTAATACCAGCATTTATAAAGTGGAACTGGGTCATGAAGACCTATCAAAAATCCTTAAAAGCATTTAGTTCTACATACACAAGCACATATTTCTCTGTCTCAAGAGTTGTTCAATTTTCTCTTGCTTACACTTCCACAACAGCAACCATCCAAATACACTTTTAAAAAGATGTAGCAGCAGTAATAATAATAATAGATCTATTTGAAATCAGAAAAGGGCATTAAGAGTTTATGAGACCTCCATTTTCATAAACATAACATTCTTAACTGACTGCCTCTCACTATGACACAAAAAACGCACTTAGTCACAAAAGGAAGTTGGCCACAACATGGTACGTTCCCTTTTACCATGGGGTTGCATTGTAACAATCAGCAGTTCAGCCTGGTAATCCTGTTCTGATTCTGTAGGTATTGTAGGTCTTTTTCAGGTATTTATTTCAAACAAATATCACATAATGAATAGAAATACATAAGCTGTTCAACGCTTCAGTACATCCTTCAGGTTGCATGCTCACTGCACTCTATCTCCTTTTAGTTCTCACAGTAAATGCAGTGTCTTACCAGATCAGCATCAATGTCTACTCTATTGCTTTTGAAAATTTGAGAGCATCAGATACATAGAGGAAGCAATAGTTAGGGGGGGGAAAAAAAAAAAAAAAAAGCAAGCAGCATTTCAGGAAAAGCACATTTAAAAATTAGCAACTACAGAGCTGAAACCCAAGACATAAGGGATGGGAGAAGAGCAGACACAGGAACAAAGAGTTTGGCTTTTTGTGGTCAGGAGGCATGCGAGATAAGGCCCTGGGAACCAAGAAGCAGCTGACAGAACAGAAGATTGTTATGGTTCTGGTTTCTTATCTGGATCTAACCACACATTTTTATGGATAAGTGCAACGTAGTAATATGAAGAAATAATTTGGAAGAATTAGATTTCACGTTTAGTAGATGGGTATTATATTTTAAAAATTACTTTTTTTTTCTTTAAACTTTTATGTATTATTTAGTTTAAATTAGAGAAAAGAAATAAGAACAAGGTTGGAAGAAGCTGTAAGAATTTTTTTTTCCTTTAAATATCTAATATCAAGTCTATCATTCCCTAGTTTTGCTGGTCGAATCTCTTGGAGATTTAAAAATAAATACATTGTGAGCTCCAGAACGTCAATGGGTTATGAATACAAAACATTTGAAGAGATTCTTTGTTTAAGATTCATTAAGCACTGGAATAAAAACAAGTTGCCAAAGCGCATACAGATTAGTGACTTTAGATTGAGCTATGCATCTTTCCTGTAAAGATCCCTGATCTCATACAGAATTGCAGTAAAATAAGTGAGGCTCTGTGGGGATGAGTAGATTTTAAGCAGAAAAGGAAGAACACCCTATGAACTCATTGTAAGATAGAGTTAAGCAGTGACAGTATCTCTCTTCCTCTCCCTTGCTTAATTTTAGTATCTTATAACTGCAACTGCAAAAGCTTCTTTACTTGCCAACATTTCAAATTTGTCATGCAAGTACAATCCTCCATTTTATAGCCCTTCTAAAATGCACCCGTAGACCAGCTCCCTGCTTCTAGAGTAGCTGCAATGCACCTTTCCTTCTCCAAAACATACTAGGTTTAAATATAATGGAAAAAAATGTACTCCAGAGTATAGGATCTGAAGTACAAAAAAATTCCTTTTCTCCCTTAACTCTGCCATTAGCCTAAAGTGTTGCATAAATAAATCTAAATCTTGCCATAAAGAATGAATATGGACACAAGCAGTCTCCAAATCATGTAAAAACATTTCTGCATTTAGAATATATATGCTATCTACGTGGTGCCAAAGATAATCAGCAAGAAATACAAAGCAAATCTTAACATAACAGACTACTCATCTTGGCAGTGTGTATTTGAGTAACAAGAAACTGTAAGAAGACAAAAACTATCAAAGACTTAAGTTCAAAACATAAATCAGAGTACACCAAAGGCATACTCTGAATTTACTCAAGTGTAAATTTGTCATCCATGTAGCCTTCTCAAAAGTCAGTATTATACAGCAAGCTTAAATTAATCCTATGCAACTTGCACATAATTTTCCTGCTTGTAAAAAAAGCCCATAGTAAGTGCATAGGGTTGTACCAGTTACAGGAGTAGTTGTTACTTATTTATGGGATTCCATACTAGTGTTCAACTTCCAATCGAGCATATCCACTTAGCGAGACAGACTCTTTAATATGCAGCATGACTGAGCAGCCTTCATGATTACATCCAGCTCTCTCCAGGACCTTCAAATGTAACACTGAAACCAGCTGAACACAACGCACAGGCTGCCAGGAAAACACCACGTGCAGGAGACTTGCCATTACCACAAAACCAACCTAACTACTACTAGAGTCCTGAAGCTTACCAAGATCTTCCAACACACCAACACCTTTCCTTCAGCTGTTTATTTTCATTGTGTCTCCTTGGACATACTGGTAAAAAATGAGGGGGAAAAATAAAGTAACTGGTGATTAATATAGCCAAGCTGATGTGACTAGAGGCTCAGAGTGCCACTAACCACTTAGTAAAATGATTTTCAACATTATCTCCTCCCCTATCAATATCTCTCAAAGTATTTTCCAATGGAAGCACTGACCCTTGTACAGTGAACAAAAGCTCACTGACAGCAGCCTTGTTTTCACTAATTTCTTGTGTGGGACCTCTTTTAAGTTGTCTATGACTAACAATCATTGCTTTAATACAATCTAAGTTTTCCTTGTACATCTTTTCTTAGCATCTGCTGACACCAGACTAGCAGTTGCTCCTGAATTCACATTGGTCATATCAACTTTTGAATGTCATGTTTACACTGTGCTCCCAGCAACAGTGATCATCCAGCTCAAGTCAAGGTCTCTCCTAAATGGCGAATCAAAGAATGGTTTGGGTTGGAAGGGACCTTAAAGATCATCTAGTTCCCCCCCCCCTGCCATCAGCAGGGACACCTTCCACTAGACCAGGTTGCTCAAAGCCTCATCCAACCTGGCCTTGAACACTTCCAGGGAGGAGCATCCACAGCTTCTCTGGGCAACCTGTGCCAGTGTCTCACCACCCTCACAGGAAAGAATCCCTTCCTAATACCTAATCTAAACCTCCCCTCTTGCAGTTTAAAGCCATTTCCCCTTGTTCTGTCATTAACTGCCCTTATAAAAAGTCCCTCCCCAGCTTTCCTATAGCCCCATCAGGTACTGGGAGGCCTCTATAAGATCTCCCCAGAGCCTTCCCTTCTCTAGGCTGAACAGCCCCAACTCTCTCAGCCTGTCCTCACAGGAGAGGTGCTCCAGCCCTCGGATCATCCTTGTGGCCTCCTCTGGACTTGTTCTAACAGGTCCATGTCTTTCTTGTGTTGGGGGATCCAGAACTGGAGACAGCATTCCAGGTGGGTCCTTACGAGAGCAGAGTAGAGGGGGAGAATCAACTCCCTTGACCTGCTGGCCACACTTCTCCTGATGCAACCCAGGATATGGTTATTGGCTTTCCGGGCTGCAAGCACACATTGTCTGCTCGTGTTCAGCTTCTCACTCACCACCACTCCCAAGTCCTTCTC